TGAACAGTACTCTGGATTTGAGAGAAAAGGCATGGAAACAAGACGCGAACGGTCACTATTTTTCCTTCAGTTTCTTTTTGCTTGTTGTTTTTGAAATCTTATTATTGGCAGAGCAAGCAAAAAAGAAAGATGAAAGACGTTTACAAATTTCTGTAACGCGAAATTAGAGCGCAGCTCTTGAGGAGGTGGATGGGAGGGTACGGAGGGGGAAAGTATGCCAATCCTCCTCCTCCTCCGTACTCTCTTCTGCCATATCCTCCTCTGCTCCCCGTCCTTCTTTTCTCCACCTCCTCCTGCGTACCTTCCCCTCCTCCTCCTCCCTACCCTGCTCCTGCATACCCTACCATCCTCCTCCTCCATATCCTCACCTCCTCCCACAGTTTCCCTGCTAAATTTACTTGAAAAATTCAACGCCACATGACCTCAAAAGCAATTCAAATCCCCGCTAAATTTAGCGGGTAATGGAATTGCTGTTGAGGTCACGCGATGTCAATTTTCCCGCTAAAAATGTGTTCATACGTGACGTGACACCAAGTCATGTGACGTCATTTTCCCCGCTAAATTTAGCGGGGAAACTGAATTAGTGTTGAGGTCACGTGATGCCCCTTTTCCCGCTAAATTTAGCGGGGAATGAGTTGCTGTTGAGCGTAGTATTTTCTCGTCGCCAAAATGTAGTAAAATGATAGGCGGCCACCCGTGAAAATAAAAGGAGCGCAGGGCCAACGTGGGCCTGCGGAAAAGACGAGGGTCTTACATGAGGAGGTGGTGACCGGCGGGGCCCGGAGGGCGCGAGAAGGCCCCGGAAGGAAAGAGGCGTCCGACACGGATGGTTGCTGGCAAGGTACTCTTTATGTAACGGTCAAACAACATTTATTTATTTATTTATTTATTAAACCTCAAATGCCCCAAATAAGGGATATTACATGAGGTAGTACGAAACATAAAATTTCTTTGATGAATGCCATGAAATGGGCGGGGTTGGAGTGGAGCACGGCGTCGGTGGGCAGATCGTTCCAATCCTTTGCTGTCTGACAAAAAAAAAAAAAAAAAAGAAAAAAGAAAAAAAGAAAAAAGACGCGCATGCAGTGGGCATTGGGGGGGGGGGGGGGGGGGATAGACAGCTTTCTGACGACTGATGCAGCATGAAACGCGGTGAGCAGGTGCGATAACAGAGCTGCCAAGTGATGAGTGGTAAAACTTGTGAAAAGGGCAGAGCCTGGAAATTTTGTGCGCCGTGATTCGAGGTTAGGCTTGAGATTTAAGTGTGGTGACACTGCTATGATAAGAGGAGTTTGAGTAGATGAATCTTGCTGCGCGATTTTGCAAGGTTTCGATCGTTTTAGTAAGATTAGATTGATGTGGGTCCCAAACAGCAGATGCATATTCTAGTTTGGGTCGGACTAGTGAGAAGGAAAGATAGTAGCTTTACCGATGGAGGGGCTAAGCGTAGGTTGCGACGTAGAAAGCGAAGGACGCGATTCGCGTCATTAGCTATGTTCGTTATGTGAGATGACCAAGTTAAAGCGTTTGAAAAGGTAATGCCTAGGTATTTATATGAAGGTACAAGAGATATGAGTGAACCACAAAGGACGTAGTTCGGAGATGGGTAAAATTGCCTACGATGAAAAGAAACAAGGGATGTTTTGTTAGCATTTAAAGACGTAATTGCCATCTAGCACACCAGGCCTCCATATGGCGAAGATCAGACTGCAGGGCGTGAACGTCAGTGCTGTTATTTCTAGGACGATAAACAACGCAGTCGTCTGCGAATAAGCGTATGTTAGATTAGACATTAGTAGGTAGGTAATTTACGTAGATTAAGAAAAGTAGGGGACAGAGAAGAGTGCCCTGGGGCACTCCAGAAGCAACCGGGGATCGGGGCGAAGAGTGGTGTTTAGGATGAACGAATTGTTGTCGGTCGGACAAGAAGTTACGAATCCAGTTACAGACTTGAGGGTCGAGGTTTAAACGCGAAAGTTTTAAACAAGAGACGTTGGTGCGGAACTTTATCGAAAGCTTTTTGGAAATCTAGAAAGAGGGCATCCACAGGTATGTTATCATCAGCACTTGAACCTAGATCGTTAGTAAAAAGAGCAAGCTGGATTCTACAAGCAAATCCTTTTAGGAAACCACGTTGGCTCGGATGAAAAAAATTAACAGATACTAAGAAATTTATAACATGCGAGTAAATTATATGCTCCATTAATTTTGATGACACACTGCTGATGGAAATGGGACGATAACTGCTGCTTGAGGTTGGTGGACCTTTTTTTGATATGGGAACGCTTTTGCCCACCTTCCAGTCCAGTGGTACCACTCCAGATGAGAGAGATTGCTGAAAAATGTGTGACAAAAGGACGCTTGTAGCACTTTTTGTGTTTTTGAGTATATTTGAATTGATGTCATCAGCACCTGTGGATGCATGTTAGTTTCAAAGCTTCGATTGCTTTTAGGACTCCATTAGAATTAAAGACTATGTTGGGCATAGCCGGGTGATCAGAATAAGGAAATTCAGGGAGATCACCGGTTCTTGTGTAAAAACAGAACAGAAGGAGGAGTTCAGTGTTTGGGGAATGTCATCTTCGGGAATGGGCGAGTTGTTCTGATCACATAATGATATAGGCTTTGATTGACCGGGGTTGATCATTTTCCAAAATTGCTTGGGATTGCTATGCAACATCGCGGGCAAAGTAGAAGAAAAAAAACGTGCGTTTGGCTTGAGCAACAAGAGAGTCAAACATTTTTTCGGTAGCATTGTATTTATCCCATGCCCGAGTGCTGTTCGACAGTTTCGCTAATCTAAACTGTCGCTTTTTTTTTTTTTGCTGATACGTTTGAGCACGTTATTGAACCACGGAGTTGATGTTTGTTCAATAACAGTGATAGTGGGAATATACGTTGTGATTAGATTCTCTATTTTATTTAAAAAAAAATAACCAGTTTTTTTCCAACAGAACGCGTTTTGCAAAGTCAGTGAGAAAACAGCTGCAGAAAGTGTCTAGTTCTTCGTTCATGCTTTTGTAGTCACCTTTATCATACAGTGCTGAAAGTTTTCTTCACTATGGGGGTCAAGCACCACGGGGACGCTACCCTGAAAACGTGGGCGCCAAAGTGGTATGTGGTGCCACCTGGCTAGTGTAGATGGTTAAATGCGAAAAATTAAAATACAACATTAAGGTCACGTGACGTCAATTTTTCCGCTAAATGTAGCGGAGAAACTGAATTTGTTCATAGGTGACGTGGCACCAGGTCATGTGACGTCCTATTCCCCGCTAAATTTAGCGGGGAAACTGAATTAGTGTTAAGGTCACGTGATGCCAATTTTCCTGCTAAATCTAGCGGAGAAACTGAATTTGTTCACAGGTGACGTGGCACCGAGTCATGTGACGTCATTTTCCCCGCTAAATTTAGCGGGGAAACTGAATTGGTGTTGATGTCATTTGACGTCAATTTTCCCGCTAAATTTAGCGCGGTTACGTCGACGGCGACGCCGCGAAACCCGGAAATGGGCGCCTAAGAGCTGCGCTCTAAAAATAAAAGACTTTTACAAATCTGTTATGCGAAATTAGATCGCAACTCTTGAGGAGGGGGAGGGGAGGCTATGCCCCTCCTCCTCCTTTCTTTCCCCCGTTAAATTTCCCCGCTAAAATTTCATCTAAATTTAGCGGGGAAATTTAGTGTTTACTGGAGATGACTGATTTTCCTGCCCCCATTCCTATGCCATTGCACTCATCAACTATAAGCGAAAGACAATACAAGTCGAAAATCTTACACAAGCTCTTGTTTCCTTTCTTTTTCTTCCGACAATAAAAATGTTAAACCACAAAAAAAAAAAAAAAAAAAATCGCTAGGATTTTTTTTTTTTTGGGGGGGGGGGGGGGAGGGGGGGGGAGGGGGCTGATGTGTGTAAGATGTCCCTGACTAGGGGTGAGTAAGGGAGACCCCCCTCCCATACACATACACACTGGTAGCCTGTGTCCTCTTCTCCAAGATCCCCGAGTACTGTTTAATCTCAAGTGCGCCACCCAATGCTAATTAATTTCTTAAAAAAAAAAAAAAAAAAAAAAAACATTTTCTTGAAATTATGTTAATTTGGAAACACAGCTGACCGTTCAATTAAACACGGCTGAACTATTAATATTTCCAGACTCGGCGAGGCTGCAACAACACACGTGGAGTGCTGATAAGGAAAATCATACACACTTCGTACGCTTCGTACTAACGTCCAACACAATCCGCGCTCGGAGTGCGGACAGCCGAACACAACTGAACTGCGACTGAACCGCTGTTGCATGCCGCGATCCTGGCGGTTGGTCGTAAAACTGCTGTCGAAAAGCCATGGCCTCCGAGACACCGAAGCGAGCGCGCGAAGCATCTCGGAGGCCATGGAAAAGCAGAAGCGAACGCAAGCGTCGCCGTCGTCACTAGTCGTCACGGCGTCTCAATTTCTGGCTGCGGAAGCTTCCGAGGACTGCAGCAGAAGGCGGCCACCGCCAGGATCGCAACTTACGACAGCATGACACTTTTATGACATCATCAAGCGGAAATCTAGGGACCACTCCTTTGGACGTGGACGCTGGTGGACGCAGTAAACAGACGAGTCGTAGTTGGTCGTAGACGCGTTGCAGGTGGTAGGTACCAAAAGTTCCACCAAGAAGACCAAGAAATGTTTCTAGCATCGTAAGCAACACCGGTGGCCCTAGCGGTGATCTTCCGCAAAGTGACAGCTCGCTCCTACGGAGAATAGCGCACGGACCGCACGGACCACGGACGATGCGCGCACCGCTTCTTTTAGGTCACTGCCCGAGGAGGAGTCGTGACCGCGGGTTCCAGAGACCGGCGCAAACTCGTCGCACTTCAGGCCGCCCATAATTCGCATCTCGGTGAGTTGGATGCTGGATCCGCTAGATCGGTGCCGGCGAGCATTTTGTCGACCTACCACGGGGAGCTCCACTAACATCCGGCCCGACTCTATCATATCCCGGTTTTCCCTTGCCCGAGAGAGGAGGCAGTGCGGTCTTGTCAGTCAACATATGGTCGCTAGTTCCTGCGTCACCTGTTACGCTCTTTGTTGTTTTCCGGTTCTTTGGATCGCTCCGCATGCTATTCGATTCGCTGACTGCCGCCGAGGCCAGCTCTTTGCGTCGGATTGCCGCTGTACTATAATATTTCTTTTTAATCCGAAGGCCGACATTCGAAAGATCAAAGAGAGCAACCTTCCCAACATCCCGTCGTAAACATTGGGACTCTGTCATGACACATGTGAGGAAAGCGGCCTCGTCAAGGTATCCAAACGAGAACGTTGACTACGTCCTTCTGAGTTCACCTGGCTCGTAAGTAGAGCTAGCATAAGGTTAATGAATATCGTCTAGGCTTTCGGTGATGGTACGGGTCCGTGCGCCTTGCTTACTGACACATTACTGTGCTGTACCGGCATTTCTCTTTTTTTTTTTTGCTGCTTTTGTTGATATTGATTTTGTCATCGATACGCTGTGACTGAATACGTTGATTTCGACGTTACGTTTATTTTTCGGCCCACAAGCCCGAAAGATTATGCTTATCGAACGTTGTTGGTTAAATGTAAAGTAACAGATAAACAGCTTAGTGCAGCAGTGCGGCTTTGAGATTGTGTCGAAAAAAACCTAGGCAGAGACTGATTATTTTCATTGTTCAAACGAGAGAATCTGGAGTGGTAAGGCAAGGCTTTCGCCAACAATATCCCTGTGAAGTGTTTCAAACAAGTTCTGCGCTGAGCCGTGGTTGCAGTTGTCTGGGTTTAGCGAGAAGCATGCTTGCAGTCTTTGGGTGGTAAGATCTTTTTGTTGTGTTGCCTCTTGTCTTTGTCCATTAGTAGAGCTCTGTGCAGATAGGGATTTAGATATCCATGTCACGACCACATTGATAGACCACTTTTTATATTTAAATTAGCTACATTAACAGCATTTTGAGCGCACGTGTGCTTGGGCAAACTAGACCTTCCTAGCACCTGTAGCTCATGCTTTTTTCTGCTCACAAAATCATGTGAAAATATGAGATGAAAGTCTTTGAAAACATTTTAATACCCTACCAATGAAGGGCATCATGCCTCAGTGAAGGACAATTAATCTAGACCACCTGGGGGTCCTTTGGTGATCTTCACCGCAATGGGCCTTCATCTGATTGTGGGTATCTAGGCTGGGTTTTTAACCCACCAGCTGTGGATCCATAGGCTGGCACTCACCTCGAAAGCTCGTGGCAGTTGTGCCAAAACATTGAAGCCGAGCATAGTTATAGTCTGGGCTGCTGCAAGCATCATAAAATGAAACAAATGTCAGATGTGGAAGGCGCTAGGTACGGGGCGTTACATAGGTAGGAGCTATTTATAATATTTATAAATAGCAGAATAGGTTCTATGAGCGTTGTGGTGATGTTATTTATTTTCGTCACCTAAAGATTTTTCTTTGGTGCAGACGCTAACAGAAATGTCTGATTGAAATGTTCGACAAATGTCTTGGGATTGTTGTCAGTGGGGAATGGGACCATTGCAAGAATGCATTGAATAGTTTCCTGCACCGAAGGACCCAATCTGCCGAGTTTTACAGACTCGTGTAACTAACTTGGACAAAATCATTTCGCCAAAATGTTTTCATCTTTAGGCAAGCCAAGAAGGCATAGGATGCTTGATGATATCGAAGACTTAGCCATCAGGGTGATAGGCAATCCTGCACACCCAAGTCGTTGCCAACCCCCTGTAACACGCACGACTCTGGAAATGGCATCCAACTTGTGCCTTCGGAAGATTGTGTCTGATTCAGTATCTGTCATACAATTAAAGAGATTGTGAAATTTTTTGTCAGTTTAGCTAAATACTGCTTAGATGTAATCTTTGTTCCTTGTAGTGTGTTATGCAGTAATTATTAGCTCCACACATTAGCTGTTATAGAGAATGCAAAACAAAAGTTGTGCAGGATTAACGTCCTTAACCTGTGGTGGCTAGAACAAGTCGGATGTTCCTGTACGCCGTTTCATCCCAAGTCCGAGCACTGCCAATGCTAGGAGCCAATCGGGCTCCTCGGAAAGTGCTACATCACACTATTTTTTGTGTCTTTATGCGTGTGATTCTGCCAACTGATCCAATCAAGCATGAAGAATGCATTGCGACATCACATTATTAGCCTGTACATTTGTGTTTGTATTGCAACTAGCTTTCAGCTGCGATCGAAAATGGAGTATAGGATGGCTGCAAAGCTCAGGGCACTGGCTGTGGTTAAAGTTGAGCAATTTTTGTAACCCCACCAACCGCTTACGAACTTGAAACCCAGTATTAGGCGACAAATTGGTTGTTAGTGAGAACAAGCCAACGTGTGATACACACCCACATCCAGTTCATAAGTTACATTCGTTCCGACTGCATTTAGCACCATTTGGAACTGGGCGGGCCATGATAAACTCCGTTAGCTTTTCCGAAAAAGGAGTAAAAGAGTCAATCTTATTTTTGAAATTTTGTAGCGAAAATCATGTTTCTGGCTTTTTTGATCATCTGCTACTTCTCTTATGTTCCACTTTATCATATGCAGTTTGTAAAATTTGAACCAAACATAATTTAATTGGTTCCTTTAATTTTTACTCACATCCATCGGTCTCGGTACAGACACCCAAATGTATCTGTGATAGTTGTGAGTATGCAGCGCTCTGTTCTTGAACCATGAACCTTAATTTGGTGTCCATAATTCACTAGCATATTCAGTCTGTTTAAAAGAAGGAAGGACTCGGTTGTTTTCGTCCTACATCTCTCTAATTATTTATCATAGTTCATCAACATGTATGTGCAGTGCTTCGCACAGTCAGCGGTCGTCATATTCTGAAAGTGCTTTCTACCTTGTGTGCATGATCACTGATGTACGTCTTTTATAGAGACATGCACACCAGTTCAGGCCATTGGTGCTTGCACTGTTCTTTTAATTTGATTATATAAGCTGATGTAGGGAAATTCTCCCACATTTTTGTTCCCAACACCAGTATTCTGCATGTTTGCTTTGTGAAACATACTGCTGAAATCACATGTACCCTATGTGACTTTTTGATCAAGTGTAGTTAAGGCCATTGAGTCCAGAAAAATGACAAGGCTGATGACACTCTTTGCATGGCAGTCTTTTGATGTAAACTGCCAACTAATATTGGTTAGAAGTGCAGAGAAGGAACATCTGAGTTTGTGTATCGCTTAGTTGTAATGACAACCATGCAGGGTGCCTTTTTAGGGGTGAAGCTTCTTAGGGTCTAGCCTTGTCCGGCGTACGTGCTCACATCAATTGCCATCCCATCTGTCTTAAAAAAAAATGTTTGTGAAGTCGACAGGATTCGAACCTGTGCGGGGAGATTCCAATGGATTTCTAGTCCATCGCCTTAACCACTTGGCCACAACTGCGGGACGAGTAGGGGGCTCTGAGATGTGGTAGTAACTCGAGAGCTGGGGATGTCATGGATGAAACGTTGCATGTAGCCGCTCAATGTGTATACAGGAGAGGGCGCTGCGGTCAAATGCGTATATAATCACGTTAAACTTTGCATGCATTGGCTCAACATTTATAGATGAGAAGGCGCTGCGTTCAAATGCTTCAATGCGTATATATAACCACATTCTATACCACACATTCTCTTTCTGACATGGATGAAAGCAAACGAAAAGCTTGGCACGCTGCGGGTCAGCGTCTGCGCAGACCGCAAGCTGCTCCGGAGACCAGGGCGCAAGAAGCTGCTGCAAAGCATCAAAAACGCCAAGCGGACTAAAAAATCAGCACCATCAGCACTACCTGTGAACAAAATCAGTATCATCTGCACCACCAGAGCTTCGCCCCAATCAATATCATTCACCACGTGGAGATGCGGTCATTTTTTATAATCATATATCCAGTTACCTTACAGTGCTGCCAGTTTGATTTGAAAATCGGTTACTCCTTAAAATGAACCGGTATCTAAAGTGTAGTCCCTGTTAGTATCTGCTACACTTCGTTTCAGCTTAAGTCCAGACGCAGCCGACACTACCAGGAAATGGGACCAATCAAGCAGTGCCAAAAGTACAAGTCACTGGGTCTTTTCTGTTTATGATTGGTTCAGCAATGATAGAACAGATACAGAAACATGATAAGCACCATGATGGTGCATTTTTGATGCAGTCTGATTGGTCCCATCAGCTCTTTAGCGTCCCCTGCGTCTGGACTTAAAGTGAAAGGAAATGTAGCTGGCAACTCCTCTGATACAATTGTTCTTTATCTGAGCCTGTTGACTGGAATGCAAGCTTTATCTCATATTTTTAAACCAGGCTGATAGCCTTTTCTTAGGGCTGGAATTACTTAGGGGAATCTGGGCTGCCTTATGCACTTTTACTCAATCTCTTGCATCATTTTTAAATTCTCAACAGACCTGTTTTCAAAAATATATATTTTTATCTTTTTCAAGCAGGTGTTTTCTTTATCTTGGATAGATTTCATTTTATGAGAACTGTCTGTGCATCAGGGGCCTCGTTTTATTTTGCCTTATGCGGAGTGCAAGTTTGGCTGCTTCTTGCACAGGAGCTGCAATAATGTCAATATGCCGAGCTCTTATTAGCTGATTGAAAAAAAAAAATAGTGGGTAGAGCTCAAAGCCTTTAGCATTGAAGTCTACCCATAATTCTTTCAATCAAAGCCAATCGGAGCTCGGCGTCGTTCTGACATCACCGCAACTCCTGCGCAGGAAGCAAACGACTTGCTCTCCGCATGTATCTCCCCAGCTGTAAAGGGCTGACGATACTAATAAATACATAAAAAATAAAAGAAATGTTTTCCTGACAGTCAAGAAGCTGTGGTTGATCATAGAGAATGGACTGAATGTTCCCAGAATACTGCATTTCATAGCATCCATTTGAATTGAAAAAGCGAGCTATTCGATCTTCCTGTTTGGTTGATGTCGGCTATCGGGAGGAAAAGAAATGTATGTAAAATGTTTACGGGGGATGTCTGAATGGCTCCTGAATTACAACTACTTGGAAGGTGATAGGCGTGTTAGTTTTTGCTAGGGCTTTCTGTACCAAATGGCTCTTAATCTCTGTGAAACGAGAATGCCGGCCCATTTGCTTGCTGATGAAGTTGCCGTACTGTAGCCACAGGGCTGCCTTATGGTAACCATTGATTTCAGTGGCACAGCGCTATTCTAGTACAAAGCTTCTGTACTCTTAAAACATATTCCACGGCTCGGGCGAATGCTTAGGAAACTGAACCTGGAGAGCCGAGTCAAGCTAACTCATCAATTCCTGCTATTTAAATTTAGACCAGTGCCATTCTTGTTTGTTTCCGTCGGCAGGTCGATGGATCCCTACGACCGGGAGCTGGGGACGGTGCAGGACCTGAGGGGCTTCACCCTGGGCTACAGCCTTGTCCAGGTCCTGGGACTCACTGCTGTTCTGCTGGTCACAATCTGGGCCAGCAACTTCATGGGTGGCTTCTCGGGGCCTTCCAACCCCAAGCTAGAGTTCAACTACCACCCGGTGTTCATGGTTCTCGGCATGGTCTTTCTCTATGGAAATGGTACAGTGGTTAATCTGCAGTAGATGGCAATGGTACAGTAGTTCTTCTCCAGTAGCCGACATTGGTTGTGGTTCTTCTACAGTAGATGGCAGGTATACAGTGGTTCCTCCTCAGTGGATGGCAGCTGTACAGTGGTTCCTCCACAGTAGATGGCAGTGGTACAGTGGTTCTCTTACAGTCGGTGCCAATGGTACAGTGGTTCCTTCACAGTAGATGGCAATGGTATAGTGGTTCTCTTACAGTTGGTGCCAGTGGTACAGTTGTTCTTTTACAGCAGATGGCAACTGTATAGTGGTTCTTCAACATTTGATGGCAATGGTACAGGGGCTCATTTTGGCTGATTCACACGACGGACTGATCCACAGACGGATTGATCACGTGACGACATGTCTGCGGCTTGTTTGTCTCCCAAGCGCATCCACACGAGGGAGACGATGAGCAGACGCCAGCGGGGACGAACCGAACCTGTTCGCCACCCCACAGTGCCGCGAAACTCCGACATCGCACCGTGGCACCGTTGTCCAAGAGAGAAATCTGTTTGCTACAGCGATAAAGAATCGTACGCCGCTGTTACGTACAGGTCGAGACAAAGCACAGTGATAGGCTTCACGCGAAGCGCCACTAGCTTTACTAACCCAAAGCATGACGTTGACACAGGTATGGTCCTGCTCGAGAAGGGTTTGGTGTAGAAGCGACGAAGTTCTGGGCACGCGGAGGGGCGTTTGGAGATGCCCTCACGCACTCCGCGCTCATGCACAACACTCAAGTACACCACAGGTCTTGCTCGGTTAAATCATGATTGGACGTGCAAGAATTATCGCGGCGTGCTAGACAAGTTTTGACGGGAGCTTTTTGACATGGATCTGGAAAAGTACCGGAACCTGCTCTTGTTAGCCGGTCAAAGTTTCTGTAGTTTCTTTCACCCGTGGAACCAAGAATCTCGCGACAAAATGAACCAGAGAACGCACAAAGCACAAAAATGCGCCATTTTTGTTTTAATCGTCCAGAAACAAAAAAAAATAAAACCATGTACCGTTCCCAGGCTAATCGCTTTCAAATCAATCTCCCGCCAAAAATCCGCGAGTGAAAAAGGCAGTCGACTTTATTAGTCAACGCGTCCGCGGACGAGGAGTGGATTGCACGAATCAATGATGTGACGGTCATGTAGTACATGGTCCATGGACGAAAACTATGATTCGGTCCGTCGTGTGAATCGGCTATTTACAGTCGATAGTGAGCTGTACTATCGGGGAAAAATGAAATGCGAACAGAGGAGCGCGTGGCTCGCGGTACAGGCTGCGCCGCCTGGAAGTGAACCGAGGGGCGAGGGTGCGTGGCCTACTTCGACGTGTTCACGCCTTTTGATTGGCGCTCCCCCAGATTCGGCAGTGCGCCTCTCGGTGCGCTGAAAGCTGTCACCGCTATCTTTGCCTGCTCGGCGAGTGCGGCGAGCTTCTTTGCACCGCACGCGCTGAGCCAGCAAAGATAGCGGTGATAGCTCTCAGCGCACTAAGGGGCGCACTGCTGAAGCTTGGGGAGCGCAGAGGGAGGGGCGTGAACACGTCGCAGTAGGCCACGCACCCTCGCTCCTAGGCTCACTTCCAGGCGGCGCACCATGTACTGCGAGCCACGCGCTCCTCTGTTCGCATTTCATTTTTCCCCGATAGTACAATGGTTCTTCTACAGGAGCCGGCTATGACACACTGGTTCTCCTACAGTAGATGGCAATGGTATTGTGGTTCTACAGTTGGTGGCAATGGTTGTTCTGCATTGAATGTCAATGGTTCCCTTATGGTAGCTGGCAAAGCAGTAGTTCTTATACAGTAGATGGCATCTGTACAGTTGCTGTTCTCGAGTAGATGACAACTGTACTGTGGTTCTTCTGCAGGAGGTGACTGTCATGATGTGGACTGAAGTTCTAAACTCCACTCCTCCGGCCGCAGCTCGATACCCAGAACCATCAGCTCTCTGAAATCCATTCCGAATATCTAAAAAGACGAAAAAATTTCGAGGGCACCTAAGCACTTATGAGTTGTGAATGTGAAAGCATGAATTTCATTCATCCGCTCCTTTAGTTCGTCTGCAGTGTACTGGCGTGGACTGCAATTTTCGGTACTGCCGAGGTTGCGGCTGCCGCCGATATAAATGCCTCAGGCGCCGAGAGGAGCAGAAGCGGCAGCAGCCCCCCCCCCCCCCCCCCCCCCCCCCTTTTGCCAGTGCCTAACACAAGAGCGGCAGCTGAGTGTGCGCTCTGTTGAAGCATCTGAAGCCTCCCCCCCCCCCCACTCATTCCCGCAAGGCCTGATAGAGAGCGGCGGCCAAGCGCGCTCTCTCGTGAAGCAGCTGAAGCCCCCCCCTCCCCCCCCTTTTCTCCCTCCGGCAACGCCTGACACAAGAGTGGCGGCCTAGCGCGCGTTTTCATGAAGCAGCAGCCAATGGCTATCTAGGAGCTGTTTTGCTTAGCCAATGTGAGATAGTTAATGCTCTCGCATTAAAAGTCGACCAAAGATCTTGCCAGTTATTTCGGAACCGTAAGGAATCTGACAATGACAATGGTACCGGGGTTCTTCGGTAATCGTGTGGTGGTTCTTTGGTAATGGTACAGTGGATGGCATTACAGTGCTTCTTTTACAGTGCCACTATCTGGTGGTTGGTCTCAGAATGAGAACTGCTTTTGAGGTTTTGCAATTGTTGCCAGTAGTTAAAGGTAGGCATTGTTGCAATGCCCAAATAGCATCACCTCTCTCATTGTGAGGTTGCTGCCACATGGTGTCATAGCATCATCAATAAGAAGAAAAAGTTAACTTTGATGGGAGGTGAATGGTAAAGCCACTATTAAGTCTTAATTGGTCGATATGGATAGTATCGTGTACCTATTCAGTGATTCCAGCTGCTTTCTGAGTGGCTACCTGATATATTTCTTCCTACTGATGCTTTTCGTACATAAAGCTAATCCTTGAGAATTCGGCACATATCCAAATGTACAAAATTTTAGAAGCATGTAAATATTTTTTTTTTGTGGTATATAATATTTACATGAATTGAATGGAATCTGTAACCTTGGGGGCCCCCAAGAGTGTTGACTAATTTATGTTATTTATTTATTCAGATACCTACGTTGTTCAGAAGGCGTTAATATGGAGGGGTTACATAAATTGAATGCATATTATACAAAATATGAACAATATGTACTTTAGAGAATGAGAACAAACATGTTACTACAGAACATCCAAGATGCATCTTATAAAGCTGAAAAGAACATAGGTGGATTGACAATTTCACGATCAAGGCAATTCTATTCGTGAATGCCGAAAGGAAAAAAAAAAAGAGCGGGCAAACACATTAGTACGGCAGTTCAATCCCACACTTTTTTTATGGTCATTCTGTCGCGATATAAAACAAGCTTCGTCCACACTAGGGAGATAACCACCGTGTCTTGTGTATTGGGGAGCGTCCAATCGTTGTACGACGTTGGACGGATATCGTCGGGGAGTTTAAGCTTTTCTGTTCAAAGGCGCTCTAGCAATCACACTCCCAGCCACATTAGTGGCACTACACAACTCATCCAAATCAAAATGGGCAGGGGCAGGAGTGTATTCGGTATTCCCGGGTTCTGACGACCACAATGCACGAAGTTCACAGAAGCCCAACTTGAGCAGACAGTCGCTTTCTACCTCATTGCAATTATCCTGATTGAGGCGGGCACTTGCAACTAAGCATTGCCACCGGCCCTCTCCGTGCAGGGATCCTGGTGTACAGAGCGCTCAGGACCGAGCGCAAGTCCCGGCTCAAGCTGGTGCACGGAGCCCTGATGGCGCTTGCCTTCCTCTGCGCCGTGGCGGCCCTCAAGACGGTCTTTGACTCGCACAACCTGAACCAGCCCGCGGCCATTCCTAACCTCTACTCCCTCCACAGCTGGCTCGGGCTGACCGCCGTCCTCCTCTTCTGTATGCAGGTACGCTTTCGTTAGTTGTGCCGTACGGTGAGGCTGCATTCGATTGAGCATGGTGCAATTTACTGTGTCCTCAAATGCAGTTCCTTGTTCCTTTTGACAATAAGTGTCGCAAGATAAGGACAGAAAGTAAGAGACACAACACAAAGCGTTTTGTATTGTCTCTTACTTTCTGTGCCTGTCTTGTGGTGCTTATTGTCGAAAGGAATGGTGTACCAACTTGCCCATCTGTCACTAGTGATGCAGTTCCTCGATTTCCGCCCACAATTGTCGTAAAGGTGTCGAACTGTTGCCTGTCGCTATGCTGGCGGTCGAGCAGCAGCGGGTCACTCTGCACCCAGAGACAGTCGATGGAAACCGAAGCAGATGCGACTAGAGACACCGCGACGATGGCGATCCTCGCATCTGCTTGCCTTTTCCGCCGACAATTTTACAGGGTGAAACAAGGAGACGCCGGGCTCTTTAAATCGACCGGAAAATTCGGTTTCTTAACCTATCGCGCTACGATTTTGTGCAGCGTTGCCCACAGATGGTCCATTTTTTTTTGTAAAATTTGCAGAGCGAACTTACCTGAGGAAAAAGTAAAGAAAGAAAAAGGCTTAGCTCCTATGGAAACTCAGCGAAGCCACCGGTCTGCAAACAACACGGTGCCGTTTCGCACGGGAGACAAGAGATGGCGCAAGTGTTCGCGACGCCAACTGCTGTCAACGAACGAGCAGACGACGCCGAGAGCTGGCGTAATTAGCAGACAACAAACTGCAGTTACTTGTTGTTACCGCGCCTGTCTTTGTTTCTGCGACTGTCGCCGCCTGCGGAACGTGCGCTGCTTTTGAGTCAAAAAGATTGTCTGCTAAAGACGCTGGCTCTCGGCGCTGTATGCTCGTTCCTTGCGCCATCTCTTGTCTCCCGTGCGAAACGGCGCCGTGTTGTTTGCAGACTGGTGGCGTCGCTGTGTTTCCATAGGAGCTAAGCCTTTTTCGTTCTTTACTTTTTCCTCAGGTAAGTTCGCTCTTTGCAAATTTTACAAATAAAATGCACCATCTGTGGGCAACGCTGCACAAAGTCATAGCGCGATAGGTTAAGAAACCAAATTTTTCGGTCGATTTAACGAGCCTGGCGTCTCCTTGTTTCACCCTGTACAACCGATCGCCGGGATCGCGACACCGGACAGCATGATGGGCCGACTGTTGCAACGCAATTTGTCGCCAGTTTGGAACCACTTTTGCCGCATGGGCGGAATGCGGAGCCAACATTAATAAGTTGGCTCAGTTATGGAACTGCTCATAGACGCTGCATGCACGAGCGGTAGCCCCCCTCACTCACCACGACTCGCCTCCCGTCGTTCGATGTGCTGGACGGCTGCTTTGGTAACTGCAGCGTATTCTATGGGATACTTATGTTTCGAAGCGCAGCGTCAAGATGGGACTTCTCCGTACTCTATTGAACACACAGTTCGCACAGTTCGTAAACTAAAATCTAGTTGCCTCTTCGAACGACTGGAGGTGGACTGAAGTGAGTGAGGGGGGGTACCCCCTTCTGTGGGAGTTCCACAACTGAGGTAATCTAGTAACATTGTGTGGAGCCCAAGTTCGTCTGCTTCTTTTGCAGCGGTTGTTGTGACAACAAAACGCCAAGCTCTAAGTGAAGGATGCAGTTGAACCTTGATCTAACGAGCCCCAATGTAACGAAATTCGCAATTTGACAGGTAGTTTTTTTTTTTTTTGTCTCCCTATCTTGTTTTCATTGAAGACAATGTATTTTATCTCTCAATTTAGCGAACTAATTTTGTGCCGCAGTTTCAATTTAGCAAAGTCTTCGGAAATCGCACATACACATATCAATAACCTCCGCGAAAAGAAAAAAAAAAATTTAACAGAAACAAACCGTATCGTTGAAAACTAAGCATAGAAATGTGCAGTCATTATCTTTTCTACAAAATAAAAAAAGTACACAATGTGGTGGTGATGATGATAATGAGTAGCCACTTGCTCTCGTGGAAAAAGAAATGTCCGCCATTATTTGCACCTACGCCCAACGAACTAGAGCTTTTACGCGTCTGCAACAACAAAAATCGTTTCGTGCCTCGAGTGTTGTGCTGGAAGTGATTGTGTTCTTCTTGGAACAATGAGTGGTGCACCGGGCAAAAGGAAAGTTCTGTTGCTCGACATCAACGTGAAAGTAATTGCTGAAGTGACGATTGGTGAAAAGAAAAAGACGGTTGCAGAGAAGTATAAAATTTAGCAGAGTTTTCTTTCGACGATTTGGAAATTGAAAATTGAAAGACTGCAATATGGCTACCATAAGTGCCAGTGGTTGCTTTCCCGACTGCACGCTCTCCTGTGGTGCTAGGCACTGCTTCCATAACCATACTAAATGAGGGTTGATGAACCGCATTCTTTTGTTACTGCCACATTTTGTGGTGGAATCTTATTTGTAAACACTCATTTGCAAGATGTAAGGCAATCGGAGGGTTTTGGGAGCCTGGAGGACCAATTGCAGTGGTAAAAAACAAAAACCTCGGTCCAACGTAATTTTCGATTTGACGAAACTTTCGGCCCAAAAGACGACTTCGTTAAATCGAGGTTCAACTGTTGTGGGTAGACATCAATGCAGCTCGCTTTGAGGTCTACCCACTATCCTTCAGTAGGAGCCAATCAGAGCTCGGCTTTCTGGCGTCACCACGACCCCTGCCAACGAAGCAGATGAGCTTGCGCTCCGCATAGGACGGTAAACACACCGGTCCTAGACATGTTCCAGGCACCGTAATTTGAGGAAATTTTGGGACTGTCTGCCTGCGAACGAGGTTTGTATGTCTATGATCCAAATGAACAAGCATTCTGCCGCCCGTAGTGGCCTTCTAGGAAACTTGTCGAGAGTTATGAATGGGGTTCCATGTTCTTCCGTGTCTATTTTTAGTGTCGGACAAAAACCGGGCGTTTATCGACACTTAGATTGCAGAAAGCGGGATCTGGGCAGGGGATTCCCCGACTTCTAGGTAATCTGTGTGTGATCCGAATGCTTTCAAAACATCTCTATACCAGTAAGGCAAGGAAGGAAAAAAGGCTGTGGTTCTTGGAAAATGTAAAAGAATGCGCACAGACGGTTTAGTGGGGTCGACAGAAAATAGAACTTTAAATGAAGATTTCTTTCCATAGCACTTTGGCTTTGTTTTATTCGAGGTCAGCTTCAAATCAAGGTTTGTCGGTTTTCCCCAATTTTTATAAAACTGTCTCGAGTTTTATTTTCGGGGTTCAACACAGAATCCGAGTTATGAGGCAGAAATGTTACATCGTAACACGAAAAAGTCCTATTCCTGCTGCATTGTTCGGTGTAACCGAGAATCAAACTTTAATGTGGCATTTTCTGGAACGAATGCTTTCTGACTTTTATCGCTCACTAGGCTCATTCCGTAGATTTTGCTGATTGGCTGACACATTGTGTGGGAGGACAAAAATGTGGGCCTTGGTCGTATAAAGTGTGCCGATTATTAGAGCAAGAGTAGTATAAGAATTTCATATAACCAGTGTTTTAAAGGAGCTCTATGTGATCATCTGCAAGTGGTAACTAAGCTACTTTTCATGTGTCTAAGGCGCATACCTAAGTATTTCCATTCCTCATTAAGCATAACTGCACCTTAGGTGCAATTTTCTTGTATGCATGTTGTTGATCTTAGCGCTTAGATTGCTACTATTGTGGCCTTAGTAAAGATATGGTTTGCTGAATAAACATCTAAGCAAGAAGCAGATAGCCTCTGTCTTAGTCTTGACAGATGCCACCTGCTAAAGATATGCATCAATCTTGTTTGGATGAACGGCTTGTCTTCCTCGGTCGTGAGCTAACAGCTTTCGTTTAGAGCCCATAAAAGTAACAGCTTGCTTCTTTAGCCACTCTTGTTTGTACTGCTTTTGCAAGAATCTGTGCGAAACGATCAATGTGCATGCTCATACCTAGGGCTCTTCTGGGTATTTGGAGCTCAGTTATGGTGAGAAAAATGGGTGTTCTTCGGAATTTATCACATGTCCCACATCAGGGGCTTATTCGAAACTAGTACTGTACAAGTATTTCTGGTAGATCTACTGTTGTCAAAATATGAAAAGATAAAAATTCATCTTCCGCTTGCTGGCACATAGGAAAGCATTGCAACTTTGAGCTGTATCTCGAGAAAGCCCTAGGAACAAGGGTGTAGTGCCACCTGGAGCAGCCACAGCTTGTTGTAATAGTAAATACAGTAGTGCAGTGGCAGGCAAAGCCAGCAAAGCGCGAGAGCTTGCCTCCTCGGGCTACACATTCGTCGTGCCAGCGGCTATAGAAACTGCTTGCACCGGGTGCCAGCTGGTTTGCAAGATTAGTGGTTATCTGCATTCGGCTGTTTGACCCAGGCATTCTTCGAAACAAGGTCAGATAACTCTTCGAAGGGTGTGCACTTGGCTCTTTAAACATGGCGAAGTCGGCATAGAGAGCGCCGACCGAGCTGTATGACCGCCAGTTTAGCAGCACGGCACAGTCAAGAATGCTAAGGTTAAATACGTTGTGTGTTGATAGCCATTTAAAGGGACACTGACACCCCCCAAAGTTGTTTTTATTTTTTGCTGGGCGGTTTATTATGGTGTTGCAAGACTACCCAATCAATATTTTGCTACAGCGTCACATATATTTTTAATAAAGTAAAAAAATGCAACTGCTCGAAACCGAAACTGCACTGGGGAGGAAGAAGAAACATAGAGGAGGAGAAAGTTATTCAAAGTCACGTGGCTGTGCAGCTTCTTTTTTTTCAATTGATGCATTTGCAACGTTTTAGAAGCCACAAAAAATGTGTATCTTAAGGTCTGTTCACACGATGCATCTTTTAGGCGCGCAACAGTTTCGCGACAATCAAGTTTCGCGAAATGTGCTCGTTCACACGTACCGCTTCATGTGCAACAACAACACAAACCGATGCACCGTTCTGAGTGAGCTCCGAATCAGATCGCTATTTATCCTGGGACCTGCTTTGCGCATTTTATGCAGTCAATTCACTTTAATTTTTTTTCTCACATACTCCACTACTTGGAGCGATCTCGCGTGTGCACTAAGCCGATTGAGGCGGCAACCTGTAAGTGCAGGACATGTGCCGGCGTCGAGCCGGTACACAGCCGATTCATTGCCAAAGCTCCTATCAATGCACATGGTATTCATAGAAACGCTATGTGCCCAATCTGGTTACTTCTCGGCGCCCATGTCTGCCCCAAGTTTACTGTGCCAACTGTTTCAGAGGGTGCACATGGTTTCACGTTCGCTTGTAAACAAAGCAAACTTGGTTTCAGTTTACTCGATGATCTCTTATCCAGCGGTATCGTCGCGACAACAATGCCTATGAGCACTATTCTAATCTCTCCAACTCCCACTAATTGTCTTTGTCCATCGCTGGATTTGTTTCCGATATGCTACTCACTTTTCCTTCGTGGTGCTTGACGTGCTTGCGGAAGCGCCGGCAGTATCCATCGTTCATGGTTTCGTTTTTTTTTGGATTTGGCTCCGCTACAACACCGGCAGTGAAGTGGTCTTCTCAGACGGCTCGCTCCCCCCTCAAAGGCCACGTGAGAGCGTTTCTGAGCGGCCATTGGCGGCGCCCTCATGGTGGTTGACAGGACTCGGCAAAGTTTCAGCAAAAGCTTGCTTCAGAAGCGAGGTGTACGCGCAACTTTTTTTTAGATGCTCGCGTCCTTTTCGGATTCGTTCAAACAGCGCAACCATTTCGCAAAACTACATTTCTCGACACGAGATGCGCGAGAAAAATGCGTTGTGTGAACGGGCCTATATTTTCAGTTTTTTAGTATTGAGTGTGTGCCTTAAATGACCCATGACTGATAATCTTTGGTGGTTGTGTCTAAACCACTGAAAACGGCTCGTTACCACGAAAAAGAGAATGAGCACGACTCATGATGGCCAGTTCTTGATTGGCGTTTTTTTGGGCATAAAAAAAACAAATTTTGAGCCGTAAATTGTGTTCTGCGTAGTTGAGCTCCCATATGTCATGTACAAAATAAAAGCCTTGGCGAGCATAAAACCCTCTCAGTGCCTCTTTAATCTCTCGACCAGTCAGTGCCTGGTGCGAGTGGCTTCTCTTGCCACTGGCATAGTGCGCATGTAGTTCAAGACAGCACGCTTGCGCAGCTTCGTTGATTTTGTCCATCACTGTGGCTTCCAGCATTGGCTGGAAAGGCTCTTGAAGGTATTGCTCGACGGGCCATAGATTTTTCTCAGTAAGTGACATCAAGATTCACTTTGCCGAGATTGTTGCAGAAAGCATGTGTTCTCAAACTGAATTCCTGGGAACGTAGGGGTTCTCCCAGAGTACCCTTGCGGGTAGCCCAAGCTGCCCAGGTTTTTCGATTGTCCCTAAACCCGAGTAAAGTGCTTTGCCAGTTTAAGCTCCATTTGAGCAGATCTGAACCATCCATCAATGCATGACTATGAGCAAAGCACTCCTTAGTACATCCATTATTGCTTAAACCTCCATTGGTTCCCGAACTGCTTTATCGCATCATTACTGAGACCGGACGCATTCCCTCATAGAGTTGCCGCCTACCTGGTCTGAACCAGCATGGCCAGTCTCCTGGATAGTAAGGCGGTTGCCGGTCTATTGCTAGGACCGGTCGTCATTTGCCAGTTTTTTCAAGTACCCAAGGGGCAATTTTTTATAGCCATAGCTGTTACAGCCTCTTCCCACCACTAAGAATGACATCCGTTGTTGATGTCGTAGTTGCTGGTGATGCAGTAGTCGTTGATGTTGTAGCTGGTGTAGCAGGGCGTAAGATGTCCGTTGTCGATGTTGCCAAATCCTCGAAAAAGATTGCCCTAATCCCACGGGAATCGAACATGGGTCGGCTACGTGCGAAGTGGAGGCGTTACCACAGAGCTATGCCACAACATTAACAACCCATCTTACATAGAGGGTTTCTGCAGTTTGCGATGCCTACTGCATGTGCTCTCTGGAAAAATGCAGAGAAATGGCCACTAATAAAATGCCGCTGTAGCACTTTTATTGCCAAGAGCTCGTGCTGGGAGGCATGCTTTCATGCATTCCTGAACAAAAGAGAAACAAAAGCATTCAAAACAAAATGGTCAGATGTCCATTTTATTCCGAACACTTTCGTTCCCGCACCCCATGGTGCATGAAAGGTGCACCGATGCCCAACAACTTCACTGTGACTGTACCGTGGATAAACACAGGAATGCTCTTTCTTTTTTTTTTTGCTGGCGATTGTAGTTGTATTTTATACCATCAATGCAACAACTACAACAAAAAATTCTTGTCAAAAGAAAAAAAAAAAAATGTATGTTAGAAGTTTGCAGTAGAGAAAGTATGCGAGCGAGTGGCAATGCCAATCAAAATCTCTCTCTAGAAAAAAAAACGACAACAAAAAAAAAGTGGATAGCACAATTTGGGAGTTTAAAGGGCCACCAAGTAAGTGAGGTAGAAAGTGGGATAGTGAGGGAAACGGGAGAGAGCAGGAAGCCAGCGCCTGGAGGGACGTGGGGTGTAGAGGACTGCCCTACCTTTCCGCTAGCTGTGCCCTCTAGGATCTGTTGCTTCGTGGGACAAGTCGGTCCAACGACTTTTAACAGTTGTCAGCATCTTGACAACCAAGGCGGGCATTAACCAAAGTCGCCGCAACAAAACTGTTGAAAAAAGAATGCATCTTTCACTCTGGTGAGTTTGTAGCGCTGTAGCCTGCAGCAACGACGCGGTGGGAGCTATGCGCTCACCGGACTAGTCAGCCGCCCCCCTTTCATCGTCTAACCCTGCTCTCTGCGCGTGGAATTGGGAGGGGTGCGGGATCAAAATAAACGTAGGACTGGTGTTAAATGAGCAGATACCTTCCATCGCAGTGCCAGCTCAGGGGTGGACAGAGCCTACACCTCTCCACAAAGCAGCAACTTTGTTCGAGTCATGCTTCCAAAACGGGGGTTATTTTAGTGCTTGCCCCGATGTTGGTGCCCCAGGCATACAACGACAGGTTTTCAGAGCGGATTGAATGCTGCCCTCCTTGCCACGCTCGTGCCCCCGGCCAGTTTGGGGAAACCAGAAAAGGGTCCTTAGGAAAATGCCAGCTGGAAGCTGCGCGCTCTTCTTTTCATGGCCTCCCTCACATAGAGCTTTATCTGAGTAACGTGTGTGACGTCAAGGTTACATTTTGGGCGGTGCACTTGTAGCAGCGTGTAAAAGAATACCAGTTGGCTCGTTTACTTTCCCAACGTGTCCTTTGTCTCGGGGGAATCGCGCTCCTTGCCTAGCCTCGCCTCCCCTTCCCTCACCCCAAACAACAACAACAACAAACAAAGCTGGGTTTGGGAGGCCCTTGTGCAGTATCACAATTGAATGAAGACTTCAAAGTCATTGGTGTAGTGCAGAGGTCTCTTCAAATGTGAGTAGCACTATATTTGAAGCGCTCTCTCATTTGGATCAGACACGTGCAAGAAGTCGAGTAGCTCTCACATCAGTGATTTTTGTTTTGTAGAAGGCAACTCTAGTTCTTCGGCTCTCCCACACTGCTTGTTGATTGTTACAAAAAAGCAGAAGGGTAGCAGATGGGCTTAGAAGGGAGAGGGGAGGAATAATACTTTTGGTTTCTAGGCTAGGTGGCGCAAGCTGCCGGCCGTTATAAAGGATACAGCCATTAGCATCCAGCCATCCATCCATCCAGCCAAGACAGATAAGGGTTCCTTGAGACTGAAAAGATTGACAACCCCTGGTGTAAAGCACGCCTAGTTTTGCTTGACCATTGGGATCTCAGATATTAAAGTTTTTGAGGATAAATCTTAAAAAAAAAAAAAAGTTTCCCATTGTGCGCATTTGTAAAAATGTTTTTCTATAATTGGTACTCGCTGAGAGAGTTCTCTACAAACACTCTCCAGGTGTACACTGAGGGAGGTTGTTGCCTGTCTTTGTATCCAGCTGCTGACTGGCTTTGTCAGTTTCCTGTTTCCCGGGGTGCGCCAGTGGCTGCGTGCACAGTACCTGCCACTGCACGTCTTCTTCGGCCTGGCAATTTTCGGATTGGCCGTCGCCACTGCCCTGCTCGGGATCTCCGAGAAGCTCTTCTTTCGCCTGTAAGCATACTTCTCCTGGCGCCACCAGTTTGGCCCTCTAGGCCATGGCCCCCAAAATTGCAGCTCCAGCAATCAATATTTTATCCTGTTGAACCGGGTGTCTGGGAGATAAGGACAACCCATTTTTAATCACCACAAAAATAATCTATGTTTCGCTGAATGCTCAGACTCTGCCCAAATGTAGTGCTAGCAATTGGTGGGACCAGGTGCCAAAGTCCTAGAAATTAGAGTTATCTCGTTCAAAAGTATAAGCGATTTTAGGAAATATTCGATGAAAAAATGGCGGCCAATGAACTATGCGAATATGTAGAGGTGTATGGCTTCTGCTACATACCAAAACAGACCCCACTTTCTTATAAAAAATTTCGGAAAAATCGCTTATATCTTTTGAATGAGATAATGGCAAGTTCTGAGACTTTGGCATCTAATCCCAACGTGGCTAGTGCTACATTTGTGTGTAATCTGAGCGTTCGGCGACGCTTCTCTTATTTTTGTGGCGAGAAAGACGGGTTGTCTTTAAGCCCGAAGGCCCCATGCTTTGTAGATACTCAAGGAACCCACACCTGCCAAGTTTTACGATTTAATCATCAAGTGTCAAATTTTCTCTGTTTTCTAATGAGTATTGTGGTGACAGCTATAATTTTACAATTTTTCAATTTGTATAATGCTTAAGAAGTTGATTGGAAAACATGAATATTGCCTCTGCCAGAATACAGCAAATTAGACATTTGTGTTTGGACAAAGTAAGGTCGGTCTGCCTTTGAGTTGTGGCAACGCCAGTTTACGCTGTGGATGAGAAATTTAGCCAGTGCAGTACAACTGCTAGCCTGTGGTCTTTAACATTCATCACACAGTTGTGATACATGACCACACGCTGGTACAAAGCTCACCCAGATTGAAAGGGGCAGGGGTGCGGATTGAACCTAGGATCCTTGTGTTCTGCAATGCAAGCCTTCACTCCACATACTCTGACCCACGGTGCACTTACCAGGGTTAGTGCACTGCAACCTAACCTGGAAAGCCTGGAATTGTCAGGAAAATTGGAAGGCATCTGAAAATGTTAGGGAATTTTAAGGGGAAATCGCCAAAATATTGGTTAAGTCAGGGAGAAGGGCTGATGAGTGCAGTGCAGTGGCATGCAATGAAACAGAAGGGTGTGCCTTGTGGTGGCATGGATAGACTTTGTGCTGAGGAATAGTTGACTTTGGTATCGCTAGGCAGCTTGAGCCATGTTCCAATTCATCAGAATAAAAGGGAACAGGCCAAACAACTGCTAAAACCCCATTCTCTGCATTTTCTTCTTTTGTAATGGTCGGGGAATTTAAACGAAATATTCAAGGAAAAACTAGAAAAGCTAGAAAGGAGCAGTAGGATTAGGCGCTGACACGGAAAGGTCCTGGATGTACGCGGCGGCGCTGCGGTCGTATGGACAGGAGGATCCGACGGGCTCCGAGCATTCCGAAGGCCTTTGGCGAGAAGCTTTTTTTTTTGCGGTTTTGCCGTTTCGCCGTATGGCAGCGCGAAGTGGATCCCATTCTGGACTGATCTTTACCCCGAGTTTGCTGTCGTTTGTGGCCAATGAAATGTCATGCCGAATTAGTGCTTAATCACGCAGCAAATGCAATGAGAGCCGCTCTGGCTGCCCGCTGCATACTGCCCATCCAAAACAGGCTTTAGTGGCACCCTTTTGCGCCGTCGACACGGAGTGCGGCAGCCATGAGCACTCGACCAGCTCACTACTCCTCCTCTAGTTCACGGCCACTCAAGCAACCAAGGACGTCATGAGGGAGGTTATTTTTTGCTCGTTTTTGTAATTTTAATTTGCCTATAACTTTTAAAATAAAGCGAATTTCGAGAAAATAAAAGTTTCACTAAGTTACTACTTTCAGTGCGCTCAGGTTCGGTGCAAATTAAAAACCGGTAAAAAAGTCCTTGCAGGGCACCTTTAAGAAAGCAGAACAAACTCCTCCTGCAGAACTTCCACTTCCACTTTAGCAGATTGAGCGCTGGAGAGGAGGCGGGTCTACTTGCCTTCTTTCCAGCATTCAATCTGCTGAGGTGGAAAGAGTGGAGGTCTGTGCAAAAGGAGCTTGTCCTGTTTTCCCTTAGCCTGCAACAATGTAGAGTTATACAGTTGAACCTCATTATATCAAACAGTGCGGGGACCAGAAAATATTTCAATATATAATATTGCACCAAAAACACGTTGAAGTGCAGCGCGATTTAATCGCTAAAAAGCTAACGTCAAAGATGACTACTCGCATGAAGCGTTAAAGGGCAACTCCGCTTCTTTTTCAGTAGTGCAAAACTATACAGTTCTCTTTGTTATCATCTACAAAACCCCCATGGCAAATATTACGACGGAATTCCGCCTAGAAGTTCATTAAAATCGCTGTCAAAGTTTGACAAGCACGAATCCGCTGGTTTTGGATGAGACGTGCGGGCCAGACAACACTGCCCGGCTGCATTTCCGCTTCCTCCAAATTCCTTCTCCCGGCACGTCCGCGACGTCATCAAGCATGTACAGCTTTTTTTTTTTTTTTTTTTCAATTTTTTTTTTTGGGGGGGGGGGGGGGGGGGGAGAGCACGGGTGGCGCCAGCACCGTGAAAGACGTGAGTGACGCGCTCGGCCGGCCCGGTGCTCGACTATTGATACTACTGATAAGCCGATCGCCTCGTTGAGCGCCGGCTTGTGTTACATCCCATATTTTTGAACACCAAGTAAAAGGAGGAGAGGGAAGCTGCTTTTGTAAGAATTTTGAGTCACAGGTTAATCTTCTATAATCTTCTGGGAGGAGAATAGCGACGCCTGTGCTAATCCAGGAAGCACAAAGGAGGATCCTGATAAGAGTTGGAGCTCCTTCTTCCCTTGTATATCACGTGGGTGTACATGCTTAGCGATGCCGAATATACAATGTTGTCCGGCTTTGCCACCGTTTCGGTTTCGGTTTGTAATCATGGCTAGAGTAAAATTACACGAAAAATATTTTATTTTTCGCGAAACAAAGGATTGGGGATTGTTTTTGAGTGCTTCAAAAAGCAAAATCGGCCACTATCTCAAAATTTTTGAAATTAAGCGGAGTTGCCCTTTAAGGTGAACTATTTATTCCGGCGAAAAAACTGCCGCAGCGTAGACTGCTTCTTTCAGTTGAATGCATGCCTTATTACGGCCTGCTCCACAATCTCCAAGCAATCCACCAGCGCCAGACTACCATTAGGGAGTTTTAGAATAGCGCACGCTAAAGCTTTGCGCACGCAAAGAATAGCGTCGTCAACACTGCGCATGCTCCGAACGCAAACCAGGTTTTACGCTTTGCGCGCGCAATTTTAGCGTGCGCTATTTCTCGGAAATAGCGTGCGTACGCAAAGAGGCTTTGCGCTTCTCCAAGGAGGATTCGTGATGAGAAGTTGGCTAAAGCCAAGATGAGCAGAGTTTTAAAAAAATGGCGGCTTCCAGGATTATGTCAGTGGCTGCTTTGGCGGCGTCGTGAGTTGTACGTCGGCGGCATCCTCGCGACTGCGATTTTCAATATGGGACGACATTGTACTTGGTTCGACAATGATCACCGACAGCTTGATGCTTGTGACGCGTGAACATTTCTCGGCGAAGGTACGATGTGCGAAGGTCAGTACACAAGACATCTTTTGCCGAGGCGACGCAAGCGGACACGACCGGTCAACCGCTCGCTTCGCATTCTCACGTTTAAACAAATCTAAAATAATACTCCGGACCAAAAAACTTGTTTTTTCTTAAGTTACAACATTTCGTGTGTGAAATAAAATTGTGACTATCTTGGTGGCGTCGCAAGCGCAAGATGCTTGGGCTTTTGCGTTGCGACGGAAAAACGCTATTCTAAAACTCTCTCGCGTCGCGTGCGCTAATACAAGCGCTAAATTTAGCGCTAGCGTGCGCTAAAATTGCGTACGTTATTCTAAAACTCCCTATTGCCCATCGTGCTGCAGTAGCGGCGTGAGAGCGCCACAGCGGCCACAGCTTCGCCCGAAGTCGAGGGCGGAGCGAAGTCCTCGGCGTTTGAAGGGCCAGGTTCAGTGGCCATCTCCTATGGAGCCGGCTTGTGAGTGATCTCCGCTGCGATTTCCAGGTCCGTGTACCCCGCTTCGTCGTCATCACCCACAAAATCGTTGATGGTCATGTTTTCGGGTGCAGCGTCCACAAAATGTAAAAATTTGGTCCATGTTTCGTTGAGCGCAGGTTCTTCACAAATCGTCAGATGCTCCATTTTCCTCTGACGGTTCCTCGGCAATGAGGACAAACCCCTTCGTGTTGAAAGCAGTCGGCGATTGTCTCCTGCCGTATGTTGTGCTATGCAACTTTAAGAATTTGGATGGTCGATCTTGAGGTCTTGTCTCATCCACAGCTCGAGGAGCAACGTTTCGACCAGTCTTCGCTTATAAATAGCCTCAAACATCCGAATTGTACCCCGATCCAATGACTGTAGTTTTGGCATAGTGTTCTGCGGCAGGAATTTGAGGGACACATTCGTGTGGTGCGCCGAGCAGTTGTCGATAAGGAGGCACGTCTTGCGACCCTTTCCACAAGCTCCGTGTCCCAATCCTTGAGTCATATTTTAAAGATGTCGCACGTCATCTGGGACTTCTCGTTCCATATGTATGTCGCAGGAATACTGCAGCGGTTGCGCGTGACATTCGTGGTCTGCAACTTGCCGACGACAAGGAGGCGCAGTTTTGTGCTGCCATCCATGTTGGCAGCCAAGAGAACTGTGATGCGGGCTTAGTTTTGCTTGCCACCAGGACACTTCTCCCCGCGAGGGTCAAGCATTTGTTGCAGAAGCATTTGTCAGAACAGGCCTGTCTCATCAGCGTGAAAATTTGCTTTGGCTCGTACTATGTGAGAACGTCGCTCCACCTTGTTCAATTTTATTTTTATGATCTCCATATTGGCGTCCTTGCTTTTCCCGAGACCATCTTCCCAACAATGTCGTAATGGGCTTCAAAGTATTGCAGCCCCTTGTGCCAAA